AGAGGCCCAGGCCAGACTCCCCACGTCCGCACGCACTCGTGTCTCTGACCGAGAGATACGTGGCCTCTGGGCGACCCCCCCTCCCCGTTAGACACTTTGACGTCCTCCCCTGTTGTCCCGTTCGTAAACATCTAACTCTGGAAGGTCTGGCGTGCTCCAGGTTTGTAGATCGCGGAGGGTTTGTAGATCTGGGGAGGTCTGGAGTTACTTAGTTCCGAGGTCCTTAATTACGGAGGTTTGTAGACATCTGGGAGGTCTGGAGTTACTTAGTTCTGAGGTCCTTTATTACCGGAGGTCAGGAGGTCTGGTAGCATCTTACACATCTGGGTCTTTTGAGATCTGGGTGCATCTGCTTGTTTGGAAAGTTTGAACGGTTTTGGGGTCTGTATTTTTTGACGTGCTAACAGAAATCTGGAAGGCTGGAGGTTTGGAGGTCGTTGAGATTGGGAGGTCTGCGGCTGTAGGTCCTGGGTGGTTTGGGGATTTTGGGACTCTGGGAAGTTAGGTCGTTCAGAGTGTACAGTCAAGCTGTTCTTTCTTCGATCTCAGGGTTTAGTTTTAACCTCGTAAGGGTTCATCGCAAGTTCTACATGTCAAGATTCAGTACAGGCTGTCTGACAGATATAATGGTCTAGGACTGTCTTCCAAGTTCAGATGACCAAAGTGAGTCCTGACGGTCACATCCCGATCGACTATTTCTGTAAAGTATAACTTTTTGGTTCCATGTCGTTTGGGATTCACTATTTGTATTGTTCACGTTTCTTCGTTCTTCAGCGGGTCTAACGTTTGCAAGCTTTACTTTTCTAGCGGCTCAAGGTTCTGAACTTTCTAATTCAGAGAGCGGAATTACAGGGAAGAAGATCTACGTCTCAGACTTGGAAAGCGTCTAGATATCGGTCCGTACGAATCTATACCTGATAGAACCTTGTCCGACTTTGTAAGGCTGTACGTATACATGTAGAACCTTGGTATCATCAACCACATTAGTTTTACAAGGTACAACTGAACATAAGACCCATAATTAGCAGAGGATCTGGAAGGAAGACAGCTTGGACGGCCGTCCTGGCCTGCTATCCTAGAGAACTGACCTAACTTCCAGAGGGTCGCACAAAACACATATCCCTACAGACACCGGACTGTGCGAGAACAACGCGAGACCTAGACAACGAGACATCGACAAGTCCTCTTTTGGGGAATGTGCGTTCAGACCTCTATACTAGAATCTGGTTAGTCCTCCTCTATCCCCTTGGTGTAGTTTCTATCATTTCCTATTCAGGTAGGTTTGGGGGCCTAAATGGAAAGAGGCAGGTTGTCAGTTTGGTGGTTCGAGAGTCATCCTGCGTCCACACTTGGTGGGTCACCACATCCCTGTGCCACAGTACACTGCTCCAGGTGGCCATCTGGTTGTTTCATCTGCCGCTAGGGTCATCCTTTACAGGCTGGCTCAAAAATATCACTGGACATCCCTGGTGGAACGCCACCTCGATCCAGGCGACCAAGTTAGTACAGGCTGGGCTGGGGGGGGGTTACCTGAGCCTGGTTTCCTTCAACCTCTTCCTGGGGGCCGCTTCACAGCATGAGCAGCTTCTTCTTCTGCTGAGTGAATGTGTGTAGACCTGCTGGGGTCCGACTACCAGGTGTACTTTAGTTTGTCTAAAACACGAGCAGCTGCAAAGAACTCTTCTCAATATCAACTGAAACTGAAACAAATATAAAACTGATTGGGCATTTACATTTCTGTTTTGAAATGTTTCTAAGTTTTTGTCACATTTTGTAAAATGTTCTCAGTTTTTGGGACATTTTCAAATGTCTTTTTAGTTTTTTGGGAGATTTTCACGTATATTTTATTTTTGTATTTCTGGACATTATTTGTTCACGTTAAAACATTTTTTGGAAATGTTGGACATTTCTGTTGAACATTTTTTGGACTTTTACATATTTTTTGACAATTTCTACAATATTTTCATTAAAGACTTTGTTTTACATCTTACAAAAAAAGTTTGGGATATTCTTTTTTTTAACATTTGGTGATTGTTCGGATTAACGAACATTTCCAAAAATATTAACAATAAGACATTAAACGTCACAAAATGAAATTACATTTATATCTTTTTTGTAATATATTATTTTTATAAATATATATTTTTCACATATATCTTTTATATTTAAAAAAAGTTTGACATCCTTTTTTTAACGTCTGAGTAAAGAACATTTAAAACATATGTTGAATAAAACATGAACCGTAACATTTGGATGCTTAACAGTTCAGATTGTTTCCAGTCAATTCAAACACCAGAACTAATGCATTTAACGAGTGAATGTGAACATTATTTTACACATTGGCCTTCATCCTCTTCATCCTCCTCTTCCTCATAACCCTAACCCTGCTCCTCCTGTTCTCCACGTTTAAATGCTGCTTTCCGCTCCGTTTCTATAAAGACGTCTATAATGTAATCCTTCAGTTTCACAGGGATCCTCTGCTTCACGGTAAAATTCTGAACGCTTGCAATTACATTTTGTAATGTCGTTATCTCAAGACCACGAGTTAACTTTCCCTTTATCCCCCAAGGAAAAAAGGTTTATTGTATATTAATTTCCCAGAATCAACGGGCAGATTTCTTCACATGACCACTTTATTTATCACGAGGAAAACAACGAGCCATGATGTCGTGTCGTCCGGATCGAAGTGAGAGAAAACCATCTTTTGCTTTCGGCGATAAAGGCTTGATTACCTCTGGCTTTTTACAAATAACGAGACATTGAACTCGTGTTCATGAGATAACAGAAACCTTCTTTCCTTCCATATGTCTCCAACAGTTCTCCTGATAATAACATCTATGTTATCAACAGTCTGATATCTCTGCTTCTGTTTCATCTGCGCTGCTTTTCTTTCAGCTTCAAACAGCAAACTGCTTCAGCTCCGATCAGCTGACTAACACAGATGTGTGTGTGTGTGTGTGTGTGTGTGTGTGTGTGTGTGTGTGTGTGTGTGTGTGTGTGTGTGTGTGTGTGTGTGTGTGTGTGTGTGTTTATTCTTGGTTCACTATATTTAGTTTAAGGCTTGTGACATTTCTTACCCCTCGGGGTCAGTTTAGGAAATCTAATCATGGACTCATTATAAGATCAGAAAGAGATGTTAAAAGGTCACAGTGAGGTTTAATCTAAGACTCCATCGGACTCCTTTGTTTACTCCCAGAGTGAAGTATAAAGAGAGCAATTAGTCAACAAGTGAAAACCCTAAGAGGTTACGTTGTGTGTCTGTGGGTGTGAGTGTAGTAAGTATAATATGAATATAAAAAGCCAAATAAGAAAGATATGAAAACCCTAATAGATTTGAATCTAAACAAAACGTATTTTTACTGCAGCTTGTCAACGTGGCCCAAAGTTAAAACAGTAGAGTTACAGTCCACCGCTGTGTGTCTGTTTTATCATCACATTAATATGACTCATTATAAGATCAGAAAGAGATCACATTAGGTTTGATCTAAGCCTCCACGGGCTCCTTTGTTTACTTCCAGAGTGAACTATGGACATTTGAATTGGAGGAAATAATATAAAAAGGAGATTTTAGCTTTTTGTAGATTTAGGCACTTGGCTTTCGTTCCACTGTGTGTTTGACGGTGTGAATGTTTCTGTGTTATCATCATATATATATTCTACCTCCCGGTCTAACCCCTCTCCTCCTCTCACAGCCTGTAACCCGAACTCGTGCAGGGCGTCGGGTCGCGGTCTGCAGCCGAAGGGTCTGCGGGTCAAAGAGGTCGCCGATTTCAAAGTCTACACGAAAGGAGGCGGCAGCGGCGAGCTCATCGTCACCGTGAAGGGACCGAGTAAGACCTCATTAGATATATTTATATATTCTATCTGAAGAACCTCTTCTGAGAAACTGATACATGACTCATGGACAAAGTGTGTCTTTTGTTATATTTAATAAAGTAATAAAGAAAGTAAATATAAAGGGAAATGGATCTGAAATGCAGGAACAGAGACACACATACACACAC